CACTTCTGCCAACGATTACGATTTTATTCTTTTTACGACTATTTTTTTTTCCGTATTTGTTATTTTTTCATCAATATAATTCGCTATGGATAGTAGTGATGATCAGGAAATTGAAGGCGTAGCAAAATTAGTATCACCAATAGCAAAGAATAAACGCGGGAAAGTGAGTACCTATTATAATATGAAATACAATTATTATAGTAAGTTATTACATACATTTTTTTATAAAATTTTTTTTTTCTTTTAGATTGTTGGTTCACGTGAGAGGTCACTCATTGTCAATATGTACAAGGCAAATATTCAGAAAGATCCTGATATGTCAATGAGGCAAATGAGGACGATAATTTCAAAAGTATTGGGCATTGGTGAATCAACAGTACACAGAACCATCAATGAATACAAGAAAACTAATGCGGTGAAATCTCCAAAACGAACCAAAGTAAGAACAAAAATTACAGAAACATTCGACGATTTCGCACGGAATGCAGTCCGTAGGCACGTTCACAGCATTTGGTTTCGACGCGAAATCCCTACGTTAGATAAAATACACAAAGCTGTGTCCGATGATAATGATTTGCCAACAGTATCGCGTAGTACAATATTTAATTTGTTAAAAGAATTAAAATTCCGTTACGTGAAGAGAGGTCGTAATAGTGCTCTAACTGAAAGAACCGAATTGATAGTTTGGCGAAGAAACTATTTGAGATCAATTCGTAAATTTCGTGAGGAGGGTCGTCATATTTATTACTTAGACGAAACCTGGGTGAATGCTGGTGACTGCCCAAACTACGAATGGCGTGATACAACCATAACCTCCCACCGTGACGCATTCCTTAAGGGAATGTCGACCGGTTCCGTAAATCCGTCTGGAAAAGGCAAGCGTCTTATTGTACTGCATATAGGTTCCGAAGACGGTTTTGTTGACAATGGGTTATTGTGTTTCGAATCCAAGAAGAACACCCGCGATTACCACGACGAGATGAATGGTCAAACATTTTGCGAGTGGATGCAAAATATTCTACCTCGGTTAAAAGACAACTGTGTTATTATTATGGATAATGCATCGTATCACTCTGTTAAATTGGACAAAGCACCAACATCGTCTACAAAGAAGGCCGATATTATACAGTGGTTGGAGGATAAAGGGGAAGTGGTGGACAGGACTATGGTTATACGAGAGCTTTTACTCGTCGTAAAACAAATAAAGCCATTACATGAAAAATTTGTTATTGACGAAATCGCCAAAGCACAAAATAAAACCATTTTACGCTTACCACCATACCATTGTGAACTTAATCCAATTGAGCTAGCATGGTCATCGGTGAAGCATCATGTCAGGATGGATGAACAATACTACGTTCAAACTGCCTGATGTAAAAAATCTTTTGATAGAGGGCATTCAAAGAGTAGACGCTAATATGTGGAAGAATTTTATCAGACACACCATAACGGAAGAAGATAAATTTTGGCAAATAGATAGTATTATTGACGAGGTGTTTGAAGCCGAGACACAAAATTTAACATTAACTGTTGGAAATACATCTTCTGAATCAGAGTCTGACACGGATTGAACTATTTTTATAATAATATGTAAATATATTTGTTTTTAATACCTATACCTATGTTTTTTTAATATGAGCATTTTTTAAATTTTTTTGTAATTATTTGTATGTATGATGAAGTAAAAAATAAACATTTTATATTACGTACATTATAATCGTAATTGCCTTCTTACGTATCTGTACAGCATACCTTATATAATACTTGCACATTTTAAAACTAAACATTTGTATGATACGATTTCGTAATAATATAATATATACAGTAAGTATTTTGGTTAAGTAATACACTGAAAAGAGTGTTAGGGTCATATTGAATTT